TTGAGAAACATTGAAGTAATACCTTGCATTCTCTCAGACCACAAGGGAATAAAATTAGAACTCAACACCAAAAGCCACCAAAGAAAGTCCTGTAACACATCGAGGCTGAACAATGTACTGTTGAATCACCAATGGGTCATGGAAGAGATTAGAAAGGAAATTCAAATGTTCATGGCATTCAACAAAAATGGACACACAAATTACCAGCTCCTCTGGGACACAACAAAGGCAGTACTCAGAGGCAAGTTTATAGCTCTGAGTTCCTACATCAACAAATTGGAGAGATCTGAAACCAACAGTTTAATGAGACAACTGAACTTCCTTGAAAAAGAGCAGCAAGGAAAATCTCAATCCAGTAGATGCAAAGAAATAATTAAAATTGAATCAGAATTAAATGAATTAGAACTCAAAGAAAACATAGAAAGAATCAACAAAACAAAGATTTGTTTCTTCGAAAAAAATAACCAATTTGACAGACCCTTAGCAAATCTTATCAGACAAAGAAGAAAACAGACCTAAATAAATAAATTCAGAGATGAGAATGGAAACATCACCACAGAAACAAACAAGATTCACAATATTATCAGGGAATAATTCTCAAACCATTATGCTAATAAGTATGAGAACTGGCAGAAATGGACCTTTTCCTAGCAAATGTCAACTAAACAAAGATGAGTTAAACCATCTTAACAGGCCCATAACAAGCACTGAAATAGAAACAGCAATGAGACTTCTCATCTAAGAAAAGCGCCGGACCAGATGGATTTACAGTGGAATTCTACAAGGCCTTCAAAGCAGAGCTCACACCAATACTACTCAAATTTTCAATGAAATTGAAAGAGAAACTTCACTACTAAATTCATTCTATGAAGCCATCATAACACGCATCCCAAAACCAAGCAGAGACTCATCAAAGAAAGAGAACTATAGACTCATTTCTTTGATGAACATTGATGCAAAATTCTCAACAGAATTTTGGCCAATCGACTTCAAAAGTTCATCCAAAAAATGATGCACCACGAACAAACAACACTCATTTCAGAGATGCAAAGCTGGTTCAATATATGCAAATCAATTAATATTATTCATCACATCAACAAAAGCAAGATTAAGAACCATGTTGTTATCTCAATAGATGCGGAAAAAGCATTTGACGAAATCCAACACCCCTTTATGATGAAGGTTCTGGAAAAATTAGGAATTCATGGAACATTCCTCAATACTATAAAGGCAGTATATGACAAACCTACAGCCAGCATTATACTTAATGGTGAAAAACTAAAGTCATTTCCTCTTAACTCAGGAACGAGACAAGGATGTCCATTCTCTCCACTTCTCTTCAATCTAGTATTAGAATGCCTAGCTACAGCAATAAGACAAAATGAAAACATAAAGGGGATCCAAATAGGGAAAGATGAAGTAAAACTCTCCCTCTTTGCAGATGACATGATCTTGTATTTAAAGAATCCCACAGACTCCACTCCAAAATTACTCAAGCTGATTCAAAACTTTGGCAAAGTAGCAGGCTATAAAATTAACCCTCCAAAATCAACGGCTTTTCTGTATGCCAACAATGAGAAAAGCATGGTTGAAATCAGGAAAGCAAAGCAGTGTGTAATATCTTCACAAAAAAATACCTAGGAATTAACCAAAGAAGTGAAGGACTTCTATGATAAATATTTAAAAACCTGAAAAAGGAAATCAAAACAGAACTTAGAAAGTGGAAAAAACCTCTGATGCTCCTGGATTGGAAGGATCAACTTAGTGAAAATGGCAATACTTCCCAAGGCTATCTATAAATTCAATGTGATATCTGTCAATATTACAACCTCATTCTTCAAGGAAATAGAAGAGGCTATCCAAAAATTCATATGGAACAATAAAAGACCGGGAATAGAAAAAACTCTTCTTCACAGAAAGAACAGTGGTGGAGGAATATCAATACCAAATTTCAAACTCTACTAAAAAGCCATAGTAATCAAAACAGCTTGGTACTGCCACAAGAACATAACTGAGGACCAATGGAATAGAATTGAAAACCCAGAAATGAATCCACAGACCTATAGCTATCTAATCATTGATAATGGAGCTAAAAAAAAAATAGAATGGAAGAAAGACAGCCTCTTCTGTAAATGATTCAGGCAAAATTGGTTAATAACTTGTAGACAACCAAAGCTAGATCCTTATATATCACCCTGCACCAGAATCAATTCCAAATGAATCAAAGACCTCAGAGTCAAAGCAGATACTCTAAAAACATTACAGGATGTAATAGGAGAAACCCTAGGTCTCCTTGGCACAGGCCGAAATTTTCTTAATAGAGACCCAGAAACACAACAAATCAAAGAAATGTTGGATTGCATGAAATTGCAGAGCTTCTGCATAGCAAAAGACATAGCTAGCAAGATCAAAAAAAAAAAAAAACCCACAAATTGGGAGAAGATATTCACTGGCCAACAATGGACAAGGTTCTCATATCTAAAATATACCTGGAACTCAAAAAATTAAATCCCCCAACAACAAATCCTCAAAGAACAACTTCTCAATAAATAAGTGGGCTAACGACTTACATAGAAACTTCTCTGAAAAGGAAAGAAGGATGAACTATAGACACATGCAGAAATTGCTCCAGGGCTGCTCTCTGTTAATAAACAAGTTTTCTACCTGCAAAAAAAAAGAGAAAGAAATGCTCAAACTCCCTAGCCATAAAAAATGCAAATCAAAACAACATTGAGATACCTCACCCCAGTTAAAATGGCTGGGCATGAACTCTAATAACAACAGATGCTGGCGGGGATGTGGACAGAAGGGAACCCTACTGCATTGTTGGTGGGAGCGTAAACTTTTTCACCCACTTTGGAAGGTAGTATGGAGGTTCTCAAAAGACTCCACTTAGAGCTCTCCTATGACTCAGCAATCCCACTTTTGGATATTTACCAGAATGATCACAAACAGGACCATACGAAAGCTACCAGCACAACTATGTTTATTTTAGCATTATTTACTATAGCTAAGATATGGAACCAACTCAAATGTCCCTCAGTAGATGAATGGATCAAGAAAATGTGGTATAAATACACAATGTAATTCTATGCCTCCATCAGAAAGAATGACATTGCCCCATTTGTTAAGTGAAGTAAGCCAGGCCCAAAGAAACATAGGTCCGAGGGTTTCCCTTATTTTCAGTAACTAGTATATGTCTGAGCAAGCAGAAATGGTCAGATTAAGTTGATGTTAGGCTAAAAGAACCCCAAGATAAAGACTCAAAAATTTCTTTGTTGCTTTGTATGTCCCTCCCCCACAGTATAACCCCTGTTTTCACTGTATTTGATGTTGAAATAATTTGGGGAGGGGAAGGGAAAAAACAAATTGTTTAACTAGGGATACAGGTGAACCCATTGCAAAAATGAGCTTTACCAGACGTTATTTCAAAAAATGAGCTTTACAACTTTGGATGGGGGGTGGAGGAAAGGTGAGGTCAGGGATGGGAAGGGGAAATAAAGGAAGAGGCAACAATGATTGATAAGAAATGTACTCATTACCTTGCCCATGTAATTGTAACCTCTCTGTGTGGTATTTTCACAATTAAATAAAAGGAAAATAACAATCTTAAAAGGTAACCAATTCCTGCAACTATAGCACCTTGCAAGAGTTCCCTATAGACTACCAAAAATGAAATCAAAGCTATGAATTCTACAATTCTACCTTAACAGTTTTCAGAATAATGCACACAATAAATTTTATATTCTCAAAAAAATCACATGGTACATTATAAATACAGTTTCCCTTCTTTGCAACAACTAGTATATGTCTAAGTCAAGCAGAAAAGGTCAGATAAGTTGATGTTAGGGGAATGAACCCCAAGATAAGTATTTAAATGTTTTTTCATACAATTTTTTCTAACATATTTATAAGATGATTTCTATGATGCTTTGTATGTCCCTCCCCCACGGTATAACCCCTGCTCTCACTGTATTTGATGTCGGTATAATTTGTGGAAGGGAAGGGCAAAAACAAATCCTTTAAATAGGGATACGGGTGGACCCATTGCAACAATGACATATACAAGTCGTTATGTCAAAAAACGAACTTTACAACTTTGGTGGGGGAGAGGGATCAGGTGGGGGGAGGTGGGTTGAATATGGGAAGGGATGGGAAGGGGAAACAAAGAGGAGGCAACAATGCTTGGTAAGAAATGTACTCGTTATCTTGCCCATGTAATTGTAACTACTCTGTACGGTATTCTCATAATAAAAAAGAAATAATAAAAAATACGTTAGAAATAATAGCATGAAAGAAAAAAATATATTTGAGTGCCTATAAGTCCTCAAAAGTGAACTACCGATACTAGTAAACGATGTGACCACAAGGTGGCAGTAAATTTCAGCTGAAATAGGCAGGGGGTTATTTCAGTGGATTCTAAAGGAGTAGGTTAAGGGTAAAAACAAAGTCTTCTTATTGGCTGTGTAGACAATTCAAGAAACCACTCTAATTGAAAGAGAGAAAAGGAAACAATTTGATGACAGAAGAGGCTGTCCTTACTATAGATTATAAGTCTTCAAGTGATTGTAATTGGGAAGAAATATGAAGAGATTGATTCATGGTATATGCTTGCTCTTGTGGCTGCAGCTGAACTGTAAGTTGATTTGGGAAACCAGAGTACATTAATACTTGATGTTTAGATATCCAGGAGATCAGTTTATCTAGGCTGTCTGTACTTACTGTAGAAAAAGGCAGTCCTGAAGAGTACTGACCTGACAACTGTCTCCTTTCTGTTTTTTTTTTTTTTCTCCACATAGGGGTGAGTCAAGGAGAGAAGCTGGAGCAGAGTCCGTCTATCCTGAGCATGCAGGAGGGAGACAGCTGTGTCATCAACTGTACTTATTCAGACAGTGGTTCAGACTACTTTCTTTGGTACAAGCAAGAGCCAGGACAGGGTCTTCAGCTCATTATAAGCATTCATTCAAATAGGGACAAAATTGAAAATGACAAATTCCTTGTGTTTTTGAAAAAGAAGGACAAACACTTCTTCCTGCACATCAAAGATGCCCAGCCTGGGGACTCGGCTGTCTACTTCTGTGCAGCAAGAACACATTGCTCCCCAGGCACCTGCAGCCTGTCTTCAAACTTGCCACCAAGACTGGAGCTCCAGCCCATACTTTGCCACAGACCTTCTTGCATAACATTTGACAATTGTTTACAAGTAGCAGCTAAACACAAACATTTAGGTCTAAGGAGACCCTGACAGGTGAAAACAAAAATAGAGTGATTGTTACTGAAGAGATTATTTTCCTATTTTATTTATTAGTAGCATACATACTACGAGGTGAAAAATGCATAGGGCTATTTTTGGGGATGGGACACAGGGCTTCCTTCCTCTTCTTCTCAAGATATGCCAAATCCAAGTGTGTTCTTAGCTTCAGCAATCTTAAAGCTGCACTTAATGACTTCTTAGAAAAGTAATAAATAATGGTTCTTATTTTTGGTCAGTTGTGGGGCTTGAGCTTTGTGCTCAAGGCTAGTGCTCTACCATTTTGAGATGCAGCTTCACTTCAAATTTTCTAGTGGTTAACTGGAGATAAGTGGTCTCACAGACATTCCTGCCCAGGCTACATTCAAATCATGATAATCATATCTCTGCCTCCTAAGTAGCTAGGATTACAGATATAAGACATCAGTTCTGGGTATGATTGTGTGTGTGTGTGTGTGTGTGTGTGTGTGTGTGTGTGCTTGCATGCCAATTCTGGATCTTGAGCTTAGAGCCAGAGCACTGTCCCTGAGCTTTTGTACAGAAGGCTAACCATATGAATAAGAGTTCTATTTTCAGCTCTTTTGGTAGCTAAATGCCGATCAATGTCTCATGGATTTTCCTACACAGACTGGCTTTGAACCCTGATCCTCAAATCTCAGCCATCTGAGTATTACATGCATGATCCACTGGCAACCAGAGTGATGGTATCTTGGAATCCAGACATTTTCTGTGAGTTTACAATAACTATTCAAACTTCATACAAAAACTTTAATATCAATATCACCTTTCTCTTGTGCATGGAGTTTGAGTCTGTTGAAAGTTTCAGGTTACTTTATTGGATTATCTATTATATGCTAAATATGTTACATAAATAAAGCATCAAAATATAAAACTGAGAAGTCTGTATCCAGATTATCTGTTTGAACCATTTGATCAAGTGATACAACGAAGTTGGTATGCAACATCAACAAATTTAAAGATCTAATGTACAATACAAGGTTTACAGCTAGGAAAATTATATTGTTATAATTTTGCTCTAGTAAGTATTTTATAATACATCTAATATCAAATCTCAAAAAAGTAACTGACTGAAATGATAAACATGTAATAATCAATTTACTATCCATATTTATCCAATAACGTCATTGTAAGCCTCAAATAATTCATACTAAAATTTATTTTTAAAAGACCATTTCTTTCCATTCATCTATCTCAGTTGATCTTATTCAAAGATAATTAAATTTATTCCTTGAAAACCATCTTATATTTCTGGTATATATGAAAAGTTTTATGCATGTGTTTAGTACCTACATAACATGTATCATACTAGTGGATAACAAAAGGAAGTTGGACTAGTAGTTAATTTACAGATAGCTTGCTACCAATTTCCTGCTTTATCTTCAACTTTTTTGGGGAGGGCGGGGGTCCGGTCATGGGGCCTGAACTCGGCCTGGGCGCTGTCCCTCAGCTCTTCAGCTCAAGACTAGCACTCTACCACTTGAGCCACAGCGCCACTTCTGGCTTTTTTTCCCTGATTATGTGTTGCAGAGGAATTGAACCCAGGGCCTCATGCATGCAAGGCAAGCGCTCTACCCTTGAGCCACCTTCCCAGCCCTATCCTCAACTTTTGACTTATTATCCTAAATTTTCTTAAAAATGTGTATCTTCTAATGCTGTTGACAGATCATTGAAAATAAATAAGCTGTATAAATAATTAATTCTCTAATTATTTCTCCTCTGGTTAGATGTAGGCTTGGTTCAAGAGCTCCCACAATTGTTTAAGGATGAATATAATTGAACATTTGGTTGATTCTTTCTGGCTGAATTATGTATGTTAGTTATTGGTTAAGTGACTTACTCTTGTAATCAATGTCATTCACATATAGTAGTTTTCAAAGAAGAAATATCTAGCCAAACCTTCACCTGTTTTTTATATTTTTTATTGTAAAGATATTGTACAGAGGGGTTATAGTTACATGAGCAAGGTCCATTTCCTTTCGAGCACTGTTACCTCCTCCTTTGTTTTCCCCTTACTGTTCCTTCCCTCTACACCTCCCCAACTTCTCCCTCCCTCCCCAAAGTTGTAAAGTTCATTTTCAACATAGTGTCTTGTACATCTCACTGTTACCATGGGTCATCCTGTATCCTTATTTCAGCATTTTATTTCCCTTCCCCTCCCCAAATTAGAAAAAAAAAAAACAAAATGCAAGTCACCTGAATCAAATACAGTGAAAACAGGAGTTATACCATGGGGGAAGAACATACAAAGAAACGAAAATTCACATAGTACATTATAAGTACATTAGAAACAACAGCAAGAAAGATAAAACTTCTTGTGTCACTATCTTGGGGTTCATTTCACTTAACATCATCTTATATAGTCATATGTACATAGCTTTTGACCTTTCCTACTTGTCCTAGACATATGCTAGTTATTGCAGATAAGGGATACCATTGCAGATAAGGGATACTATGTTTCTTTGGGCCTGGCTTACTTCACTTAATATAATTTTTTCCAAGTCTTTCCATTTCCTAACAAATGGGGTGATGTCATTCCTTCTGATGGTGGCATAGAATTGCATTGTGTATGCATGTGTACATATATATATGTAGCACATTCTCTTGACCTACCTGGTTTTTCTCATTTTACTCACTACACAACTAGCTCCTGGTCCTCAGAAGCAAGTCTGCTCTTTGTTTAGTTCTCCCAAGACTGATTAAAGTTGTGAGATGCAATCAGGGCTTGTAATTTATTGCTTTAGATCTTGGTTACAAAAGGAGGTGATAGAATTTTCATTGGCTTAACTCTGGATCTTATTATGGTGAGACTGGACATGATATAAGAAAAAATACAACACTCTATACCCCAAGTGTGCAGAGGCAGAATCCAGAGTCTGATGAACTACAGAGTCTGGACCTCAGATCAAAAATACATTTAAGCTTTAGATTCTTGCCATAAGACTGCTGCCATTTCTCAGTCTATAGCTGCATCACTCCCAGCTCTGCCTGCTTGTTAACACCAGTATCTCTTTTTCTGTTGTTATCAAGTCTCTCTTTCTAACCACAAGATTTCACTAAGGCTCTAGTAATCCAAGATAATCTTCTCATATCAGAACATTTAACTTAATTATATCTGCATATGAGTGACAATAATTCAGTGGAATAGAATCTGTTTTTCATAGGAAGCTGTAATTTTGCATACACTGTTAGCATCACTTTGGCTTTTATTTCTACATTGAGAAAATTATAATAAATAGATTAGAGCTCAGTCAAAAAAAATCCAAACCAGCAGCCATAATTATCTTATTTTCTCGGAGTTCCTAATATTAGTTTCTAAATTACAGTAAAGAAAAACTAATATGTTAGACAAACAAGATAGACCTGAGCTTTATTCACATTTAATGGCTCCAAGATTAAGAGTGGGTTACTTTTTACCTAATGTGCAGGGACATGGAAACGGAAAAATCATTTTAAATGAAGTAAATCACATTCAGAAAGACAAAGGACACTTATTTCCTCTCATATGTGGAAGTTAGATCTCAATTACAACTATGTCTGTAGACATATGCAGTGGCATATACACATATTCACTAAAGTATTGTCTATACAGGGTAGAATTCCAAAGGTATAACACTAGAATAATTGAATAATTAACTTACAGGTTAACAACAAGAATACCAGGAAGCTGGGACTTGTGTTGTCAGTGGTATGCGGGGGGGGCGAGGTCAAATGGAAGAAGAGCAGACAAATGAAGAGAAAAAAGGTAGGTAAACGTACTCCTAACTCCAATGTACATATATGAAAATAGAACTATGTAACTTGAGAGAATGGTGGTGTTAGGAGAAAGGAAGGAGAATTATAAAAGAAGTGACATTGATCAAGATGAATTTTACTAATAAAATGTAATGTTGAATTGAATATTCTTTGTACAACTTCTTAAAAATGAAAAAAAAATTGGAAGAGTGATTTAAGTCTAAAAACACTTGGATTGGTTGAAATGTTCAGGCAGCACTTCCACTAGGAAGTCTCTGTTTCCTGTTTTCCTGTAGCAGCAACACATTGAGGGTAGCTCAGATCTCAGAGCCCAAAAAGTAGAGATAGAACACATTTCACATTAGAGGAAGAACACACATGTGGTTCACCAGATGCTGAAGGTGGTCATGGATTTTACGTGGCTGATAGGGGTGGGGCATTGCAAATGGCCCTTCTGCATGCCCTGAGCACTAGGAAGAGGAAATGTATTATGGGGACCTTGGGGGAAAAAGGGGTAACAGGAGGCAAAAGTGCAATTTCTTTGATCCATATCATTTACTCCTAAACTTGATTTCTTTTATTCCCTTTTCTTTTTTTTTCCTTTTTACAAGTGCATGTGTTTATGTGTGTGTGCATGATTATGCGTACATGCCAGTACTCAAGTTTTAACTCAAGGCCTCTCATTTTCCATTAGTTATTCCATTCAAGGTTGGAACATGATAACTTGGATCACATCTGTACTAGATTTTTGCTTGTCTGTGCTGGCTTACAACCACAGTCCTCAGGTCTCAGCCTCTGAGTAACTAGATTTACAGGCGTGAGCTTCCAGTACTGAGCTCCACTACACTTTCTGATTGTATTTTTTCCCTCACTGTTCATTTTTACCCAGAAGGTAACTCGGGTCCAACAAGCAATGTCAAGCAAGAAAAAGTGACTTTGGTCTTGTACTGTACCTATGATATGAGAGTGGGTAATTATAGTCTTCTGCTACTAGAAGCCCAGCAAAGAGAATAGTACTTTCCTTGTTCTCTAGTACTCTTACAGCCAACAAAACACAAGAGTAGGTTACTATTCACTGATATTATAGAAGGCAAACATCGTCCAAGCTTGTCACCTCAGCTTCACGGCTGAAGGATTCCACTGCATATTTCTGTGCATTGAACAATACACAGTGAGAGGAATTTTGTAGAGAGGTGCACAACAAAACTCAGGGGTTGCCTGACATCCACCTGCTGTAGGGTACAAGGAAAAAGAATACCACTTTCTCAGACAGAAGGTGCCAAGACTGTAGTATAGGTGCTGCAGTTGAGAAAAAACTATCACAATAAGAAAATATGTCTCCAGATTCATAGGTCAAATCTAAAATTATTAAAATCTAGAATCATTAAAAATTGTATCCTTGAATATTTGAAGTTAAATATATAGTTCTGGATGGAGGACTGAAAACCAAGAGTAGCTATAAAGGCAATGTGCCATTTTGCCTTCCAATTAATCTGGAAGACTTGGCTAAGAAAGGTCAGAAATACAGCCCAAAAAAGAGCAAAAATTGCATGCATTGTTGGTTTTGAGTTGATCTAACTCCACCTAGAACATACTGAATAAATGATGTGTAACACCCATGGTTTTAAATAAAGATGGATTTTCAATATTTTACTACATTTCTTATTTTAGCACCATCATGTTAGTCCTGGGCTATCAAGAGGTGGATACAGAATGATCACCAATTCAAGCTAAGCTTGCAAAAAAATTAGTAAAAGTCTGTCTCTTAACCAACATACCAAAACAAAATGGCTAAGGGTTTAGGTTGAGATGTAGATTGTTTGCCTAGTATATGCCAAGTCCTATTATTTGAAAACAAACAATAAATAGGCATACTATGTGAACTGACCCATGCTCAGGCTACATTCTTTTTTTTTTTAATTTAATTTTATTTTATTTGAGAACATACTGTACAGAGGGGTTACACTTACATGGGCAGGAAAATGCATACATTTCTTACCAAGCATTGCAGCCTCCTCCTTTGTTTACCCTTCACCTCCCTTCCCAGCTTCCCCCCTCCCCCCCACCCAATCATACCCCCCTTCCGCCCCCACCGACATTGATCACAAACAAGGCCACACTAAAGTTACCAGCACAACTATGTTTATTGCAGCATTATTTACCATAGCTAAGATATAGAACCAACCCAGATGCCCCTCAGTAGATGAATGGATCAAGAAGATGTGGTATATATACACAATGGAATTCTATGCCTCCATCAGAAAGAATGACATTGCCCCATTTGTTAGGAAATGGAAAGGCTTGGAAAAAATTATATTAAGTGAAGTAAGCCAGGCCCAAAGAAACATAGGTCCCATGGTTTCCCTTATTTGCAATATCTAGTATAGGTATGAGTCAAGCGGAAAAAGTCAGAGAATGTGATGTTAGGAAAACGAACCCTCAAATATGTATTTTAATGTTTTTGTTTCTTTCATGCATGTGTTTCTAACGCATTTATAATATTATTTCTTTGTTGCTTTGTATGTCCCTCCCCCACAGTGTAACCCCCGCTTTCACTATATTTGATGTCAGTATAACATGTGGAGGAGACGGGGACAAACATGTCATTTAAGGATTCAGGTGGACCTGTTGCAACAATGAGAAGTACAAAATGTCATGTCAGGCTACATTCTGACACCATACTACCTCTACCATCAAAGAGCTCAGTTTCTCTGAGAAGGGTTACTTGTATTGAAGAATTTGTATTCATAAATCATTGGTAAGCTACGGTTCTCACAGGACATGTGGATTTCTCCAGATGAAAATACACTTTTTATGGGTGTGTAAGGTGTCCCCTTTTCCTAAAATAATCCCCTTTACACTGTAATAGTTTTACATTTGCTTTATGCATTTCAATATGCAGCCCACAAAGCAAAACAGAGTTGGAGTAAAAAGAAGAAACTAAAGGCTATGTTCAATCTGGGTCTTTGACAAGTTACGGGAGTTACTAGAGCTATGGAAGTCACCTTCTGAAAATCCAAGAATGCCCTCTTTGTCATCACAAAACCAGATGTCTACAAGAGGCCACTTTCTGATATCTATGTAGTTTCCAGAAAGCCAAGATTTAGGACTTATCTCAGAAGAACAGTTAGCAGCTCATGAGAAATTGAAAGTTCAAGGTGATGTTGTCTCAAACATTCAAGAAAACACACAGCCTCCAATTGTATGAGGGTGAAGAGAAAGAGGTTGATGGAACACATGCAGAGGTTAAGAACAAAGATTTGGTCTTATCATAAGAAAATGTGTAGAGACCAAAGACAGTCTAGAGCGCTGAAAAATAGTAGTAATAACACTGTAAATGCTATAATAGAATTAACAAGGTAACCATATTAAATAAAGGGTCATTTGTGTTGGGGTGTGTCTTTGCTCCAAGAGGTAACTGCAACTTAGTTTGAAATTTGTATTGTTTCTATCTTCAACAAAGTTATTGCTTTTTGGTGGCTATAAAAATAAATACCAACTATCTTACTAATTTTAATTCAGAAAAATGGTATTTTTATTACTAGTAAGAAAATGTTTTCCCAAGCAACAGTAGCTCATTCCTATAATCCGAGCTTCTCAGGAGGCTGAGATCTCAGGATTATGGTTTGAAGCCAGCCTGGGCAGGAATGGTTGTGAGACTCTTACTTCCCATAAACTAAAATCTGATAGTGGAGCTGTAGCTCAAGTGGTAGAGTGCTAGATTTGAACAAAAGATGCTAAGAGCAGGACTTCATACTCCATGGTAGGCAAAATGAAAAAGGAAGAAAGAAAGAAAAAGAAAAGAAAGAAAGATAGAAAGAAAGAAAGAAAGAAAGAAAGAAAGAAAGAAAGAAAGAAAGAAAGAAAGAAAGAAAGAAAGAAGAGAAAGAGAGAGAGAGAGAAAGGGAAGGAGGGAGACACGGAGAGATGAAGGGAAAAAGGAAGAAGGAAGGAAGGAAGGAAGGGAGGGAGAGACGGAGGGAGGAAGGAAGAAAGGAAGGAAGGAAGGAAGGAAGGAGAGAGAGAGAAATTAATTTGAGCTTTAGCAGAAAATAAAGCTTAATTTTTTTAATCGTATTTATGCCAGGCACTGATGGTTCATGCTACACAGGAGGCTGAGATCGAGTATCACAGTTAAAAGCCAGCCAAAGCAATAATGTCTGTGAGACTCTTATCTGCAATTAACTATCAAAAGGTGGAAGTGGAGTTATGGCTCAGGCAGTAGAACACTAGTCTTGAGCAAAAAAAGCTCAGCAATAGCCCTCAATCCCTGAATTCAAGACCCTGAACCGGGGCAAAAAATATTTGTATGTATATTAATTTATTCAAAAATTGTCAAGTTCCTACAGTGTAATAAAACTCAACATGAAAGGAAAACTTGTTTCATTTAGTAGCATTATTGTACAATATAAAAAAGTCCAATTTCTATACTACAAATTTGTCTGAAACCTACCAATCCTACCCCAAAACATGTGGTCTCAGGAAGACACCATGATGAGACAGAGTGCAATCTGCTTTCTCTGCCCTTGTCCTTTACTTCTCTTATAGGAGCATTTGATGATAACATAAAGAGCATTTTACATAGCCTGCTGAACTCTATCATTACTCTTTAATCCAGAATCTTCATTCCCTACAATCCTGCTTCCAGTGCCAACCTCGTGTTTTCAAGTCCTAAAATAAGAATTATAGCAGTTGGTTGATGACTGAACTTTCATTGTAAGCACCGCATTGGGAAACAGGAGATAAAAAATCTAAAGGAAAACTCACAGACTATTTTAAATTGTGGAGAAAGATGCATGACTTTAACTTTACCCCCTTAATCAGGTTAAAATAAGTGCAATGTTCAGTGATACTGTGTAAATCACATGGACTTTTCAAGCATCTGTCTGCAGATGCTTGATTCTGTAAAATCCAGTGTGCTGTACTGACTTTTATAACTCAGCATCATCCCTACCTGCTCTATATTCTCCCAGAAAAATCTAGGACTGATTTTCCACATTTTCTCTGTTCTGTAGTTCTGTGTCATGTTGGGACAATTTGATTTGGAAGGTAGAGGAAAGGAAGAGGGATATATAAACCCAAAGCTATCCAGGCATAAGTTTCTTACTTAAATCTTAAATCTATTTACAATCTTCTTCTAGAATCATAAGCTTCTTTCTCTAAGTCTTTGGAAACTGAACATCAGGAAACAGGCTTGGCTGCCATCCTGTGAAAAGCATACAGAACTGGCACTGCCTGGTTCCCACAACTGGTCACCTGGTCTTGCCAGTGAAATTGTGGAGTAAGAAGTAACTGATGTCAAACCATCCCATATGGATTCAATTGCTTAAATTTTTCCAGTCTGGGTTACAGACTTTCACTTTTCAACGATGGATATATTCAGGAGTAGCTAAGTCACTTTTTGCTAGCATACATTTTAACCAAAAAAATAATCAAATAAACAAAAAATCCCTATAATTTTAAATTATTTTGTTTATTTACTTACTATTCTTTCTTTATTCACTTGCTATTTACTTACTTTTAACAATTTTTTATAGTTTTATTTTTTTAATATTTAGAGACACCCTGCAAGAGGCTGCAAGAGACAGAGTGGAGCAGAGCTTGTGCTCTCAAGCCTGAGGAAAGCTGGGGCTGGTGGAGAGACCCGCGGAAATCATGGGCTGGCTGAGAGGCCCGAGTACAGCAGAGAGGCCTACATAGAGCCGAGAGGCCTGAGGATAGTGGAGAGGCCTATGGAGAGCAGAGCAGCCTGTGGAAAGCAGACAAACTTGAGGATCCCGGGCCTGTGGAGAGGCCTAAGCAGGAGAGCCCAGGCCAGTGGAGAGGTCTGAGGAGACCTGGGCCAGCGGATAGGCCTGCACAGAGCTGAGAGGCCTGCATAGAGGTCTGTGGAAAGCAGAAAGGCCGGTAGAGAGGCCTGTGTAAATGGAGAGGCCTGTGAAGAGCAGAGAGGCCCGAGAAGACCCAGATGGGCAGAGAGTCCTGTGCAGCACCGAGAAGCCAGTGGAGAGCCAAGAGGCCAACGGAGAGCCGAAATGCCTGTGGAAACCCAAGAGACCTGCCAAGAGCTGAGAGGCCTGCCCAGAGCCGAGGAGTCAGCAGAGAACCAGGCTGGCAGAGAGGCCCAAGGAGACCCAGGCTAGTAGAGAAGCCTGTGGAGGGCGGGGAGGCTTGGAGGAAGGAGGAAGGAGGAAAAAGCGAGGCGGGGACTAACCCCCTTGGAGGTGCAGCTGCGCCTAGGACAGGGCAGTTGCAGACTGTCTAATAAAACTCTTCTGTCTTCTTTAACTGTGTCTCTGTGGATTTTCTTGCTCCCATGTCATTATATTTTTGTATTTAAATTTTGGCATAATTAGTGTTAGGACCAGGTTACATTAAGCAGATATGATATTAATTAGATTAAGGAAGAAGGAAAATTAACTGGGATAATTAAGTTCCAAGACCTAAAACTAATAAGTGCAAACTTCAGAAAAAGGAAAAATCTGTGGCTTGACATTTGTCCAGAATTGCAGAGCAAGTAAAAATAAGTCAACAGTCTGAAAGGTTAACCACCAATATCCTAATGTCTGCTTTTATGATTACGCTTGCTCAGCAAATATACTAAAACATGGAACTTGACCCTTTACAGTTAACTTTTATTGATAAATAAGAATAAGGCCAAACTTGAAAGGTGGGATCTCCCTTTAGAAGAACAAAGGGAAGATCAAGGATGATAACTTTGTCTTGATTGATTATTGGAATTGTAATCACCATTTATGATCACTAACTGCTAGACTGCAAGTTCTGCTTTTGTAATTTGCTTTCTTCCTGACAGCAAAATTACCACTGACCACCTGAGTGGCCTCTGTGTTTTATGCCTTCATATTCCCTGAGCTATTAGATTTCAGGGCCACTCTTTTGTCCTCCAAATGATGGAGAGTAGTCCTCACATGGAGAAATAAAACATTCTAGTTTGATTGACTCTATGTCTGGATCTCATTCTGGTATTCAGAAACTTTTCTAGATAAAACAATTCAGATATTTTTTACTTCTTTGACATTCACAGTGCATAACTACGGGATCAGGTAAAAGAAAACTAGACAAACAAAAGGAGCTTGAACTTGCACATTTTAATCCCAACTCCCATGTGAATATTTCTATTTATACTTTAAAGCTTTTAGAGACAATTAGAACACTCATTCTTATTTGGAAAGATTACTTGCGAGCTCTGCTAACTAACCTTTTAATTTTGACATATCATATACAGTTTAATTAACAGTCTTAATAATTTTGGAAGGAAACAAATACTAAATTTACAATAAAGATTCAGAAAATGAAAAAATAGGAACTAATGTTTAAATTATGTAGTTATTACATCTGTAGGTTTTATATGGACAATAAAATTATAATGCAAATACATTTAAATTGTTAACTAATGTAATAAAGTATTCCTTAGCACTTTTGTGGTCACTTATTTACACACAAGTATCATTCTTATGGAAATGGAAAGACTTACAAAAATCATATTAAGTGAAGTAAGCCAGACCCTAAGAAACATAGACTGCACAGTTTCCCTCATTGTAAAATCAATGACCAAACACAATTATTACTTATCAGAAATAGGACCAAATATTAAAGGCAGAACCCCTCTGTAGAGAGAAACTCCAGGTCATATGGCCAGTAGTCAGCCTAAGGCTTTTCTATATTCAATAAAAAGCAAAAGAACATCGCTCCCTCACTCAAGTTTCCCAGATTGGCAAATTTGCAGTTTATCACAAATATTACTGAAGACCACTAACAACTTGAGGTTTATCACCAGCTGTACTGAGTTGCTTTATCAGCCAGCACTTATGATTTAAAAAAACATTTCTGTAAAGAAAATTTCAGTGCACCCCTAACCATGAGAATGAGTTTCTAATGTCTTGAGATTTAAACTATACTACCTCAACTCAAAGCTATGATTTGCTTCTGGTTCTGCAGTTCAAGACTATGCTTTGCTTCTGTAAATCTGCTTGCTTGCTTTGACAAACACCACCTGCATGTGGGTTTTCCCTTTCAAATTCTGCTGGGAAAAAGGGCCTGCCACTGCACCTTACATCCCAAATACTGGGGTATAGTTGCTGAGCAACCAATAAGGACTCTTTGCTCTGAGTTGGTGGCCTTATTTCCAGAATTGGGACTTTCCATCATTTGAAAATTAGTATATGTCTAGGATAGTCCTAGAAGAGAATCATAATAGCTCAATTGTGTACACATGACCATATAAGATGATGCTAAGTTAAATGAACTCCAAGATAGTGAAACAAGAGGTTTTTCTTTATTGCTATTGTTTTAATGCACTATGAGAAGTTATTTCTTTTTTCTTTCATTTTTTCCCTCTGGTATATCCCCTGTTGTCACTGTATTTCATTATGTCACACTGTGTATTGCATATATGTTTATCTGAATTGGGGAAAGGAAGGGGGAACAACAAAATGGTGACACAAAAAGGCAAACCAATGCAACAGCAATACAAGACAATAACTTGGAAATGAATTTCACAACTTGTGGGGTAGGGAGTGGGAGAAGGGAAAGTAGAAGAAAAACAAGAAAAAGAGTAACAATGTTCGACAAGAAGTGTACTCATTACTTTATGTATGTAGCTGTAACAACTCTGCTCATCACCTTAACAAAAAAAATTAAATTAAAAAATTGAATTTGAAATTATTCTAAAACAGCAAATGTCATATTTCAAGAACTGTTGGTGATACCTCAACCAAAGTCCACGTATTCATTTTTAGTTTCAATTAACAAATATGCATTGGGCACCTAGGATCTCAGTCATTTTCTGTGTTTTGGAAAAACAATGCTATAAACACAGAATCAGTACTAATATAGCCTCTTATCACTTCCTGTAACTTCAGCACAAAACACTGCCATGACATTACAATGGTTAGGGTGGCCCACAATAGAAACATGAGGCAAGAAAGGCCTGGGTTAAAGTGTCCAAGGCAATTGGTGTCTTTTCAGCTACACACACTGGGTTGCTCTTCTCTAAGAAATAAATAAAACACTTTAGAAGTCATCATTTTTTTCCTATAAATTAACAGAGAATACTTGAAGACTGGTTTATGACTGATAGCTTAGGTCAGGGAGGAGGACATCTGACTTTGGGAGACCATCAACAGTGGCCCCAGTTCAGGCCCTGTGCACCAGGGGGAGCAGCTACCTGACACAAGCTTATTTCCTGTGGAGATAGTAGTTTAAATACATTGTTTCTCTATCACTTTCAACGTTTCTTTCACTGAAGAATAGAGAACATATTTTCCTAACACTAGAAGGAATGTCTCCATGGTTAATGACAGTAATATTCTTAATAGTTGGTAAGTAAAATCAATTTTAAAATTTGGACGCTTTCTACTATAAATTCAACAAAATCTTTCTTTTCTTTTTTTCCTCTGCCCCCCGCCTCTCAACCAAATCTTTACCTAAAATTTACCTAAGAACTTTATTCCCAGACTGACACAGATCTCTTTTTCCTCCAGGAAGGACTTGTGGAATATCGGTGACCCAGAAGGAAAGCCGCATATCTGTGTTGGAAGGGGCTTCCATGACCATAGACTGCACTTATACAGCAACAGGGTACACTTATCTCTTCTGGTATGTCCAGTATCCTGGAGATGGTCTCCAGCTTCTCCTGAAAGCCATCACAGCCAATGAGAAGGGAAGCTATAAAGGATTTGAAGCCAGATATGACAGAGAAAACACCTCCTTCCACTTGAATAAAGCTGCAGTCCTAGAGTCAGACTCGGCTGTGTACTACTGTGCTGTGAGTGACACAGTGGCAGAAACCACAGGGGGAGCTAAGCACAAACTGAGGGACAGCAGAGGTTTGGCAGCTGAACATCTGCCCTTCAGATTGTTGTGGTTTCAGCACAGTCTTAGGTGTGTGCCTTCACTTACCTCCTGATCCAAAATTCCACAAATGTCAGAGGAAACAGGAAATGGACATCACCATATTTAGCTGTTCAGTAGTGAACTGAAGAAGACTGGTCTGATGGAGAGAAAGATGTGGAAGCTTTTAGGAGTCTCATTCATCCTATCCTGTGTCAGCTGTGCTGTGAGAAGGTGGCTTTGCAGAAGTCAATAAAACAAGCAGATTATGGTAACCTCCTCTATATTGTGGAATTTCACATTGGATGGTGGGGCTATTGTGCTCATTTTGAGACACTACCCAAAAAGAACATGTCAAAAGGAACCTAATGCTTCTCCTCTGTGTGATTTCCATTTAAATGGGGTGGGCAGCTGTGTGTATGTTCAGCAGAGCCCTATGTTCATGAGGACCCAGGAAAGAATGCCTGCCATTCTCAAAAGCACTTCTTAAGACAGAGCAGCCTTCAACTGCCATTAATGTCTCAGTATCCTGGGTAGACTCTCCTGCCTTTGAAGTTAATTTCTAGTAACCAGAAGAAACACAAAATCAAAAAATATTAAAATACTGCTAAGAAATAAAAAAGGCTTCAGTTATTTCAATACCCCGGCCTCCCGTTTTGCAGAATCAGTTTCCTACTTCTGTGTTATGCAGCTCAGTGTTCCCGACCCACAATTCTGATCCAGGCCTGGTCTTGGGGTTAAAGTGAGGAAATCTTGTTTTGTAGTTATATTGAAAGACTAGACATTGGAGTCAGCTCTAGTCCTACTGCATCAACCTAAATAAGTCCCCTTCCCAAAAGGTGTGTCATTGGTAGAAAACTGAATGAACAATTCCAAGATTAGTCCCAGTTTTGTAAAAACATATTCTTTAAAGCAAAAATACATAAGAGTCCATCACATGCTACTAAGAATAGCTATGAAAGAAAGCATAAAACAACAAATACTGGTGAGAATTTGAGGGGAAATGGAACCCTTATGCACTGTTGGTGGAAATATAAAGTAATACAACTTCTATGGAAATCACTGTGAATATTCCTCACACAACTGAACATAGATATATCATATGATCAAGCTGTTCTTCTCCTGGGTATATGCCCAAAGGAATGAAAGTAAGCAGACAATAGATGAACCTGAACACACTGTTTATTGTTACCCAATTCATACTGACTAAGCTGTGCAATCGACCTTGGTGCTCAGCAATAAACAAATGAATAAAGAAAATATAGCACTTTTATAGACAAGATAAAATCATGACATTTTCAGAACTTGAGGAACCTGAAGAAAATTGTGTTAAATGAGATAACCCAGACTAAAAAAGACAAGTGTTACATATTTTCCCTCATATGTGGATTCTAGATAAAAGAAAAATGAAAGAGTAGAAATGGAGCTACTAGTAAGGAAAAGGCAGGGAGGGAGATAAGAGCTGGTGCAATGATAATGAATTAAATACATTGTATGAATTCATGAAAATGTCACAACAAACCCATTTTTATTTTCAATAGACTTTATTTTGACAAATATGTACATGAAGCTAAGGAAATGACATCCAAACACTATCTTTTGTTATTGTATTTACCTCTAAACCAGTAAGAATAGAAGAAGAGAACAAATCCATTATTTTGTAAATTGAATATGAAATAAAAACAAATGTTGTTTAGACTATGAGTAGAAATCATGTTGGTTAACCTAAATTTTAAGCCATTTTGTTTTGATTAGATTCTTAATTATAGGAAATTTCTTTAGTAAATGGACATGAGGAATGACATGGAACTTCCTGAGGTGACACAGAGAAGAGCTCTGCAATATAAAGTGCTCCTTGACCCCAAGATTCACACCAGATTTCTACAATAGAAGTATTAGGAATGAATGTTAGTGCAGAAATGAGGCTTTTGTAAATCAATGCTCTTACTTAGAAAAGATCTAACTTCTGATATATAAATTGATGCAAACAGAAACAACCTTCTGATTGGGAGAAAAGTCTCATACATTTTAATTTAAGCTGAAGATGGATTTTTACTTTTAAAATGGAACACAAGAATAGTGCAAATTGATTATTTCTTTGAACATGAGTGGGTGATCATAAGAGGGTAGTATTGTCTCAGAGAAGAAACCTCCATACTTCTAAAGGTGAGAGAAAAGGAAAAAAGCTTGTTGGTGAAACTAGGATTTTTTTTAAAAAAAAGAAAAAACTTCTTTTTTCTAATTGGTAGAGCAGATTTCTACTGTGTTTCCTAAAGTATAATAACTACATCTGAATGAGACTCCTTTCCCTTTACATTTACAAGCTGGGTCCTCAGAATGAATGATATAAGTCTTTTGTGTCATACTAGTGATCCTGTGACTTCTCATGAGCTGAGAACATGAAGTTTAATGTTTTTGGAGTTGTTGTCTATCTCAGACCTGTGAGGAAAAACATGAATGTTCTTACCCCCATGTAAAGCTAATTTAGATTTGGGGAGCATCCACTATCAAACCACTGTGTGACCTCTGTCTTTCTGCATGGGGTGAGTAATCAATAGAAGGAGGTAGAGCAGAGTTCTAAGTCTCTGAGGGTTCCAGAGGGAGCTACCACCTCACTTGGCCACACTCGTACAGACAGTGGTTCTCAGAACTTTAGGTGGTGCAGACAGTAGGCTAGGAAGGGGCATGAGATTCTGGTGTCCACATACACCAATGGTGATAAAGATGAAGGAAGATTCACAGTGCATCTCAGTAGAGCCAGTCCATGTACTTATATGCACATCAGAGACTCCTAGTTGGGTGATTATGCTTCCACACACCTGCAACTACACCCAAACCTACAAGAACATACAACGCCTGAGCTAGAGGATAAGCGTCAGGACAGAGCAATTCTACTATGTTCTGGATGCCATGGGAATTAAGGTCAATAGCAGGGAGGGTTTGATTGAAAATTTTCTTTAAGGGAATTGTAAAACATTTAATTTTTATGTTACTGATCTGATTGGATTATTTTTCAGTTTTATCTTTACATTCTAATTTAATTTTTTTAATTCTTGAATATACCAAAAACTTACGTTTAATGTCTGAATCTTGAGGACTATTCACATAATACCCATACAACTGTCACTGAAATAAGGCTGTAAACATGAACATTGTCCTTAAAAGTGTCCTTCCTCTTGCTTTTTCAACACTAAAGTATGATAAATATGAAAGAGATGCACAGGTCTACTGCATGTATTTTTATGTCTAATACAGTTTTATATCACATCTACCACATGTGCAATATCCCAACATGTGACTGGGAAATATGTTCAAGTGATACAAAGTAGTAAGGCTTCTAATCTTAGCTACATGTACCAAAAGTAATTTGGCAGGGCACTAGAATAATTGAATGTTTTAAAGAAAGGGATTTTTTTTCCCCTACTGAGGCTTGAACTTAGAGCTTGACATACTTGCTAAGTTTTTTCTCTCAAGACTGGCATTCTGCCCTTTGAGGCACACTTTCAACTCTGGTGCTTGGCTGATTAACTAGAGATAAGACTCTCATGTGGAAGCAAGGTATAAAGTACAACCATGCATGATAATATATACAGGGCTATATACATATACACAGAAATTAACTAAATAATGGTGTACTCAGAGGAGGAATCCAAAAGTGTTCAGTCCTCTGAACAATTAATTGACTGTTTATCATAGTAAATATCAGGAATTGGAGACACATTTTGCAAGGTAGGATAAATGGAGGGAAAGAGGGCAAACATAGTCATTATAACTAATTGCATTATGTAAAAATGAATTATTTAACAAGAGGGTAGAGAGGAAAGGGGGAATAATGAGGGAAAACAATAGAAGGGGTGACATTGATCAAGATGCTCATAACTTTACTTACAGAATTGAAACTTCTTTGTACAATTACATAATAATAAATTTAACTTAAAAATAAGCAGGAATCTCATGAACTTTCCTGCCTGGACTGGATTCTGACCCAGATCCTTAGATCTCAGATTTTGAGTAGCTATAATTACAGTTGTTAGCTAACAGAGCCTACTGTAATGTAGTTCTCATATATATAATATATACACATACACACATATATATATATATATATATATATATATAAAATCAAAGTCAATCAATTGTAACCTTGTTTTACCTTCACTTACTTCAATAATTTCCACATAAAATCTTTAACTTCAATGAATCTATGATAATACAGAAATGCAGGGAAAAACTCATTGGCATTCCACTTTAAGTCACACTAATTTATGATAAAATGTAATATAACCAATGAACATTTAGTCTTTTAAAGCACAGTAACAAAGTTAATAAGAAAATAAATCTTTGCTACAAAAATTCATAGTATCAGATTTTACATTAATATTATCATGATATACAAAACCAGGAAATAGTATCACTTACTCTGACACGTTTAAGAAATTTTATATATATATATATATATATATATATATATATATATAAGATGCATAGTATATATTATATATAATTCCAAATTGTGAATTGACTTACATGATGGGATAAGAAATCCTGTCCCTTAAAATAGGATCAGTAATTAGCACATACAGAAGTTATACCTTTCTTCAGTTAGCATTTCATCATTCCTCGTGGAGATGTGAAGATAATGAGAGCTATGAGCTTCTCCAATACAGAGGAAGTAGATAGAAATGAGAGCAAGGTGCCACCCTATATATGTCCTATTCTCTATATGCTTCATTAGCGCATTTTCATGTTCAAGATCATGATACAGCTTTACAAAATTCTCCTTTCACTTAATTGTGTTTAGGATTACATAGTATATATCTTTCTCTGTGAGATCTTTGCTTTTATATAAATTATCAACTTAAAAATGCATGTTCTGGTGTTGTGGCTAAGAAAGTTGGTTTTCTGATATTGCTAATTGTCTCAGACTATCCTTGACCCATATGAAGCTCCAGTGTGTACTTTAGAATTCTTTCCCTTTCTTATCTCCCCTCCTAAG